CAATAGGCCCAAGTCAGAGCTAATCTATAAATGAACTCTGTATATTTTATAACTGATAACCAAACATGCTAACAGGTATTATACTAAGTTATAATAAACCACCTATCCTGATGTAAAGGGTGGAAGTGTTGAAGCCTGATCAACAGGCCCTGAACCAAAACTGTTAACTTAGAATGTAAACCTTACTGATGCATACATAGAGGATGTCTTGAATGTATCTTTCCTTCCCTTATGTATGTGAATAGAACAACAGAGTCATGGAGGCAGGTGTCTGTCACACAGACCTGATGTGAGACCTTGCACATAGTCCCATCAGATAAGCAGAGAAATCCTTTGGCTTCTTCCTTGAGCCCTGGCCAGGCTCTGGGGGGAACCTAATGTGAGATTGAAACCAGATGTTTCCACTTGAGTATACAAGGCTGGACCCGCTCACAGCGACTTTGGAAGACTCACCTATGGGTGGACGCACCATGTAAGACTTCCCATTTGCGGGGAAAGGCTCCCCAAATCCTCACTGTGACTGGGGCTGCCCAGCAATTGCGGATTTGGATGATAGTAAAGTATGCAAGTGGTGATGTATCTTTCTTAATCACTATTCTCTCCCTGGCAGTAGCACTTTGATGCATTACCCTGTATGTTCCTAATTGTTTAAGTGCACTATTCTGTCTTATCGTATATTTTCCTATATTATTATTATTTTGAGTAGATACACCTACTTTTTCACTCTGTGGTCTGAGTCTAATTGATATCCCTAATCAACAAAACATAACCTGTTCAGTCTTCCCCCCCGCCCCAAGATTTATCTTTTCTTTCCTTTTCAGAAATAACCAACTCCACCAACGACATCGTGGAAACAAACACCACATCCAGCAAGCCTATCAGCAGCACTGTGGAAACAACCCTCATCTTCAATATAAGAACCTCTGCAGCCTACCCATTCACATGCTATATTAAAACTGGATAAAAGACTCTTATCATGGTCCAGCATGATATAGAAGAAATACATCAGCTGCTAACAAGTCAAAAGGGATGGAGAACATCGATGGCGGGAAAGCTTATTTGGATGGTCACCAACCACAACAGGACTGTTTAAGTCCATGTTCCACCCAGTCATGATTTTCTTAATTCTAACTTTAGTATGTTTACTGCTCATAATTGTGTTGTATATTAAGGTCTGGAGAATGGTTAAACAAACTGCTCAGTTACAAAAGTATCCCTGTGTGTATACTATCCTGTAGCGGTAGAGACGGTCATGCGACAATTGACAGTTAAGTTAAGAGTAAAAGAAGAAGTCTGTTTATTGTTTTTCTACATACCTTATATATCTTTTACAACTACCGCAAGCTCTAACATAATTGGCTAAACCCATAGCAACGGTACACCCATAGCAACGGTACATGATTAGATAGCTTTCTTAAAGTTTTACTTCTGAACATGATTAACACAGTTCCTTATCTGCATTCAACAGTTTCATGTTTCTTCCAGCAGATGTTCGCTGTCCTTGCTCCTTATCTGTGGTATGTCCTCCTGCATGCAGACTTCTCATGGGTACGGGATGATCTGGCTGAGGTTAAATTCCATCTGCTCTGCCAGGCGTTTAGCAGACCCGCTGCCTACCCCGACACTATCCCAATTTTTTTTTTCCTGAAGCTAATCAAACACAAAATTTCCTTCAATTATAACTAGATTATGGCATCCTCTGTTTATAGGCATAGAGGCAAGAGGCAACCACACTGCTACTCTATGGACAAGATAAATTGACTTCAGTCACGGGGTGGATTGTGGTGGTGCAATTCTTACCCCTCTCTGCCCCTCCTTGTTGGGCTGCTTGGTGCCAGGTGTGATTCCATCCACATTCCCCCAAACCATACACCAATCTGTGGAGATAAGGACTGATAACCTTGAGGAGCCTGGCTCTTGCCCCTCCCAATTGCTTGGAAAAGGTTATAGTGGCCCATCATCTCCTGATGGCCTGACACACCTGTGCCTGGGATGTGATCAGATGGAACAGTAACAGGGTTGCATGTTACTGAAATTCTTGTGCAACTGCCAAAAGGCACCAGATAGTATTTGACAAAAGTCAGTTATTTTGGATCCTATAAATTGCCACCACCAGAGAGACCCTTTGAGCTCTCCTGGATCGCAGCGGGCCTGTGACCAGCATCTCCCCTGAGCTGGGACACCTCTCAGGTACCAAAACCCTTAAGGTGTCGTCTGCCCCAGACAGAAGGCCAGGGCGAAGTCCACCCGCATCGCCCGTTGAGGAATGACAAGGCATTGTGAGTATTTGCTCTAAACTCGAGAAGGAAATTTTCTTTGAGCTAGCTTCTATTTCACCTGTTTATTGGTGTGTGCGTGTGTGTGTGTACGTACCCTTACCCTTGTTCCTGTGTGCTTGTCCCTTTGGTGTTCATTTTACCAAATCCAAACCCCTTTTGTTCCTGTATGTATGCATATGTCTGGTTTGTGTATGCGCATGTACATATGTGTATAAATTAAGGTACCGTTAAGTTAGAGTGAATATTGTCACTTTAGAACCTGAATAAGTCGCTTTTCTGAGTTATTTTGTATTGACAAATAGTTGTTAGTTATTAATAAAACTAGATTATTTTCCTAAATCATTACCGTGTCAATACTTTCATCCGCGACACCGCTTAAAATGGATGACACTTGTAGCAAGTCAGTTCACCCAGGGATCCACCAGAAATTAACTTCTCAGAGGTCAGTCAGAAGTGGTAGGAGAAGCTTGGCAGTTTTTTTCTGTTGAATCAGGCTGGTGGCCCAGCTCACACCAATTTCACATAGGAAACTGTGGCAGCACACAGGAGGAGAGATGAACCGTCCGTTTTGGCAGCAAGTTGCACCCAGATCTAATAAGGCATACCACATAACTGCACTCTAGTAAGTTGTTTGTTGTCCAGAAGTGAGGTCACTTGGACTACTTATACTCTGCATAACTTTGCATGAATTTTCCTCCTGACTTACTAGTAATTAAATAATTTTTAATCTGTACATTTTGGACAATGAGATCTTGTACAAAATGAACAAATGTGCAGTTTCACAGTGCAAGTACAGTATTAAAAATCCTTAGAGTAGATAGGGTCCTTGTTAACTCTGCTTTAAATAAAAAGCTGCCTAAACCCTGTTTCCTTTTTGTTGCTTTGAGAAAATGGAGACGCAATTTGCATTTACAACTTAGTTCCTGGTTCCAAAATACCCCTTTAACTTTTTTATTATTTTTATGGTGGATATAAATGGCACCAAATTGTCAAATCACAGCTATTTTCTATGCTACCTATACAAACAGGTCTGATTTCTGGCAAGTCATAAAACAATTATGGCTGAATTCCTGTAGCCCTTTGATATCCCAGCTTGTCTGTAGGGCTTTAATGACAGCTTAGGGCAATGCTAAAAGTCTAATTTCCAGAAGACACAGAGAAACATTTCAATTCCCACATGTTCAAACATGAACATACCAAAATCTTAGAACTGGGATGATTATGTTTGAAAGGGAAGTGACTTAGAACAAAAACAAACAGGTAAGGTATAGCAACAGTTTAAATCAACGCTGCCTCACAGAAGGCTGAGATACAGACAACTTGACAAAGCAGGACAAGGAGCATACTACACCTGCCTCTGATTCCTCAACACTTATTGCATGTTGGGAAGCACATGTTCCTGCTTACATACTCAGCTCTTACCCCTTCTTGTGTAGATGACAAAGAAATGGGTGGGAAATAATCATAAATAGTAAAGGAAAATAAACTGCCTAAGCATGCAGAGGAAGCAAAATGTAAAGTTTTCTATTGTCTAGACATAAAATTGGCAACCTACCAGATTTAAGCTACTTATAAATACAAAAAAGAAACCAAAATCATTTAAATATTCCACGTGAAACAAATATAGATAATTCTAACTGTACACTTAAGATGTTAATCTGCAAGTAGTCTATTAGTATTTCGACTCCTGTTAAACTTTAGTTTGGGCATTAAGATAGACCTATAAGGAAATATCCCTGCAGACCAAGATTCACAGACTAATATAACTAAACTTTTTTTACAAAACCTGCCAAGATCGGCAGTGGTTGTTTAACTTTGTTTTCACTCTATCAAAAATTCAAGGAAGCAACCTAATGTAGACCTGCTTTATAGAAACCATTTTGTTTCTATTTAGTCTCCAGACAATAGAAAGGATAATGAAAATGAAAATCATTCATAGTTTATTCAACCACCTTATTTTTGTCAAATATTAACTTTTATTCTCATGTACACTCCATGGAGATATTTAGTTTGTTTGGAAATAATTTTGTAGGTGAAAAACAAACTTTCCAGTGTGTGGCAACTCAACATTTAACAATAAAGATTAAAGAAAATACTAAAACAATTGATGACTACCATTTTAAGAACAGCCTTTGACTAAATACAACATCCAACAGATACCTGGAGTTTTCTAAAGCCAGACATTCAAATACAGTAAGTGCAACATCTCAACTTGAAATGTTGGACAGCTACACAATCCACACAAAAAAATGCTGTTCCATGTCTATGAAATGGTCAATATTTGTAAAAAGTGTGTGCGTGTGTGCATGCATATATGTGTTTGTTTGTGGTGGGTTTCTGAAGTTTATCCTCCCATTGAAATCATTTGGTCTTTGCTATTAGGTTTGAGCTACAGAAGTGCAGTAACTGGATTCAGATAGAACAAGCTGCCTGTCCGCGTCCAGTTTGAAGACTATAGCCCACTGCTTCCCTGGAGTTCTCCGACTCACCCCAGAAGTGAAACAAGTACTATTTCAGGGCACCGCTGTACAGGAGCATCTTTTCCAATGTCATCTTTCCTCTGTTAAGGACAGACAGGGCAATTCGCAATGTTTCCAGCCACCCGCTGGAACAGCAGTGCTAGGACAGCACAGCAGTGTCCGCAGAAGCAAACTGAAGATTTTACTGTTGCTGGCCTACCTTACCTGATTTAGGTTCAAAGGCTGGTCTTGGTCTATTTGCACAAGACTGCCACAGGCACCCGAAGAACTTGGACAGAGTTGCTTCACAGTAATTTACACACAGACAACTCACAGCATTTGTAACAGTCAGCTCTAAGAAAATTTTTTTAAATAAAGGAAACTATCTAGGGAAGCATTATAGAGAGGATAGTGCTAAAGAATAATAAAAGCCAATATCCTTATAAGAAAGGATGCTACATAAATACTGAGACTGGTTAAAAGGCTGCTACCTCCCCAAAGTTACACAGAGGAGAAAGAAGAGGCTAAGACCATGAGATAGAGAATACATTTATGTGTTGCAATTGCCTTTTTATTAAGCAAGGGAGTGCATTGGTTCTCACACTAAGACCACTCTGGAAAAAAAAAAATAAAAAAATCATCATCTGAGAATTCAAACTTCCTAAAGTATCCTTATTCTTCAGATAAGGATGTGCAATTATATTACTATATTGCTGCTTCTATTCACCTAACTGTAATGAATTACTAGGCAGACTATATGTTACGGGTAAAATACTTTTTGCTGAGAAAATGTCACAGCAATATTGTGCAGAATTGGGCTAAAACCTGGATCAATTGAAAGGGGCAAAAAAACCCTCACCAAATTTAAGAAGTTGGAACTTTCTGGTCTTAAATATTTGCTAGATACAAGTGGGAGCATTTACAGTATTCGGCCTCTCGGAAACCACACACTTAAAACTTCAAACTAGTGACAGCCAGGCAAACAAATAACAACTTGAGTGTCAAAAAGCTTTAAAGTCTTAGCAGTACAGGCATTATATCACAGATGAGAGCAGACCTTTGCAGCTCTAGAGGCATAACATCCACAGTAGCAGCATCAAAATAGGTAAGGAACTTTCACATTTTACAGAGGAATTCACAACAATAATATTTTCTGACTCCAGTGTAGCATACAGATAAATTTCTGTTAAGACTGTATTTTAAATGAAAGACTAAGCAAAACAGTATGGCTATGAAAGACACCTGTTTTTTTTTCCTCTCAAAACATATGTATATGCTTTCTACATATCACCCTCATCATTAGATTCTGCCTTTATTCCATGCCATGACTCATTATTTTTGAATGACTGAATTTTACTCACTGGCTTGTTTTACTCACTGGCTTGTTTTATGCAAGGCTAGTTAACTACAGTAGTACAACTCTATTTCTATCCTCTGATCAGCTACTAAATCTAGGGAACATTTTGCATACTTTTGTTGTTTAGTCTTCAAACACACTAAAACTCTTCCACAGCCTTCCTCCCCATGACCTAAAAACTCTGACGTGGATCTCATGTGGTTATCCACTGGCCATAAACATCCACCTCAGCAGCCTCCTCGCCAGCCCATCTATCAGAGGACAGATCACTGGATGTCCTTCACATGGTGCCAGCAGCACACTGGAGCCAAGCTCTGGAGCACAGCACATGGTCCGTCAGTGAAACAAAACTGAGCCCAGGGAGAGCGCAGACCACGGCAAGCAAGCACACATTGTGTGCAGGTCCTGGACCCTGAGCAGTACCTCCAGGTTTTTAGTGGTCCCCTAATGAAAAACAGCAGCTGGATATTGGCTGGACATTGGATCTGGCTAAAAAGAACAAATCTGTGCTTATTAGTGTCCACTTATTTCCCCAAGTAGAAGTTTACCTTCTCAGCAGCAAAACACCACACAGTACTGCCTCAAAAAATATCACAAGGGCATACCATTCTTTTAAAAGCGAAAGCTCGTCAGCTTTATACGTTTTGGGGTATTTAAAGACAACATTATTTTTATTAAGATAGTTTTATAGAAAAAGATGTGAGATTGATTTCTGTCCCACTAACATGACCATACACATTTCAATATACTTTTTCCACATAGTTTTGTCTTCCCTTGCAGTAATATTAAAAAATTTTGAGTCACAAAGTGTGTCCAAATATGTGGTGTGCCCCAGGGTGGGCAAGCAAAAGAAAAAACAAAACATACCAAAGAAACAAAAAATGCCACAAAAAATACATCAGGCAGTATCCAGTTAAAAAACTAGTCTTGGATATTATGCCAGACCTGTGTATCTCCATGTTCAGAGCGCATACAAGATTTCAAGTTCAATCCATCTTTTCTGCTTTCCCGTCAGGCATGATGTTAGTGCTGTGATGACTTACAGTCATTCTGTAAATGGTTTTACTGAATGCTTCAATAAAATACTCACTTGGATTTTACATTATGTAAGATGAAATGTGAATTTTTTTTTCTTCTGTTCTTTATAGAGCCTCGTACTGAATCACAAGAGGAATTCAGATTATATTTACCCATTTAATACTTACCAACCAAAATTTCTCAAGAAAACTTCTGCCCTCCACTGCCAGAAAGGCTGCTCTAAGGAACAATGAACATTTTTGAACCAGCCCTTCTTCCCCACATGGAAGACACAACAGTTGCTGGCCTCCAGCCCACAATATCAAATAGTCCTATCTCAACTGAATCTCAGCATTATTTCTTTCTGGATCATTTGCCCTTTAATGTTAGCACATAAAAGGTAAAACAATGTCTCCAAGTATACAAAGAAAGTATTTCTGCGATTTCCCTGGCAAGCCTACAAATGCAGAACACCTTGTTTGTCAACCCTCATTTCAAGACACGTCACATTCATGTTACTTCGATCTAGAACAAGCAAAATGATTAGTGTCTCACTGAGTTAAGTAGAATTCTGTACAAACTTTAGAACAGTACAAATAGTAAATTTATACTTACTATACAAACCACTCAGTACTCTAACAGTACACACCTCACATTCCTTGTTCAGCTCTGCTTTTGTTTTTTGTTACATATTATAAAGCAGTTTGCACTATAATCTCTGCCATCATAATGATCTGAAAACAGAAATACCTATCGTGGTATTTACCTTCATGAACAAGATGCCATATGAAGAATATACACATGCTACTGTATTGGCTTTTGCTTTTTTACATAGAATTCCGGACAAGTTACTGAAGCCATACAAAGGCAATTGATATACATCAACTGCTGAGAATAAGTACGAACTGTAATTAAAAGAAATTAATCTGATCTATCATTTACATGATGTTAAAGCTGTTGAGACCTCTGCCACCATGATGTGCCACAGATTTTAAAATCAAACTCATCCAGCACCACTGGGCTTGTCCAGGAAGCTCAAAGCAACAAACCTGAACTCCTCAAAAGAGCCAGAGTCAGTGCAGGAACTCAGCACAGCATTAGCAGCATAAAACTGCCAGTAGCTGGCAAGCAAGGGAGAGCGCTAAGCTTTGATGCTCTGCCTATGAGCACCATCACAAGGATACTGATGAGATAAACTATCTGCCGACTGATTCTACTTGGTAGTAACAGCCTCATCCACTAATATTGTTTAAATAAATGGCACCCCAGAAAGGAGTTAAAAAATTTAAATCATTAACAGGTACTGAACATCATGTTTTACCCAACACTGAACAGTTTTTAAAATTATTTTGTACATTGCAAAAATCAGTATTTTAGCTGTATTCTTTAATACTAGGCAGTATCATACATTTATTTTTAAAATAGATTCCCACACAGAGATCTAAGTAAGCATACAAATATTTAAAGTACTAGCCAGTTCTTCCTCTTCTTTAAGCAATAGAAAGTGCAGCAAAAAGTCATACAAAAAGCAAACAACATTTTTAACTAGAAGTGTTTTGTGAAAAGATTAGAAACCATACTTTTCATGTAAATATATATAAGTGCTAGAATTTGACTGTTCTTTTGTTTTCATATATGCCTACCAATCACTATCACAAAAGGAAGAAACAGAACAATCACACATGAACTAAATTCTTGAAAGTACAGGTGTCCATCATCAGAATCTCCTAAAAAAAAAAAAATGTAGTCAAACTGCAGCAGCCTACACACTTAACTCTGGATCAAACCTTTATAAATTAATCTGTGCTTTCCCCACCTATCACAAGCATTATCAACAGGCTTTACAGTTGCAACTATCGAGTTGTCAGTCTCTTCCACAGGTTCTACCAGAACAAAGGACAGAATAGCCCCCTCCAACATTTCTTCCCAAAACCTCAATTTAAAAAAACAAAAAAACCCACCAAATCCAATAAACCAAAACCCAATCCTAACCATCATGTACATCATTGTTACAAGAACAGCCTTGATAACTTGAATAGTACCACAAATCAAACTTCCAAGAATTTGCAGCTTACTAATACAGCACTGAAAAATCTTAACAAAGATAATTGTACCTCCAGGTTGGATTGTCTAGCCTATAATAATAAATACGTGGCTTCAAGTTTTCTTACAGATCTAAGAATAAAAACTGCACAGAAGTAAATAGAGTAACAACAACGAACAGCAAACAACCCAGCTGTTTTCATTTTCTCAAATAAATGCTAACCAATTCAACTGTCTACTGACAAGCATTTTGAGGTATCTTCCCCCTCATCTTACACAAAGAAGCAATAGAGCCAATCTTACAGACAACAGTCTTGTTTTCTGTACTTCAAGTGTAATTCTACAGCTATCCAAAAATCTTGTGTACAATAGCCTTGAAACTACATTTCACTTCCCATCATCTAAAATCCAGAAGACTACAACCACAGAGTATTAATACTATAGTTTTAATAGAGAAAAAGGGAACCATAGCTTCTTAAAACTAAATATATTTTATCAGCAATTAAATGCTACCAAAAGTTAGCTTAATGTGAAATAAATAACCTATGTTCATCTTTTAAGAGTTAAGAAATTGGAGTCATAATTGACTGGCATTTTGGACAGAAATCAGAAAACTCAAGTCATATGGTAAGAATCTGTTTGTGGGTCCCTATCCTCACAGCCCTCAATTTGCTAAAATTAAGAGTTAAGTAAGTCTCTCAATTTACATGTAGCAGGAAGAGAGTAATTTTTTTTTCCCACTCAGTATTTAAAAATTAGCAAAAGAAACAGCAAGTGAAATAATACTGTTTGGCCACTTTCTCCAAAATTTTACAAGACAACATGCAAGCTATTAAAAACAGCAGTATTAGCATCGTGGCCAACACATTAGTAAAGTGGGGTTAGGAAAGGAAAGAAAGATTAAGGATCTTCTTTGCCTTCCCTTCCACTAATGTGCCTCTTAGCATGAGGAAAAAAAAAAAGGGAAAGGGAAAGGGGGGGGAAAAAGGGAAAGGGGGGGGGAACTGCATAATTTTTCCTAATCAAAGTTCATTCTAAGACATTTCATTAATTTTCCTGGTCAGCATATTATGAATTAATACTTTTAGGGAGCTTCAAGAAGTGTTTTTACAGCCAAAATACAGATCACTAGACACAGTTTTAAAATATAGCATGAGGTGTGCTTTCACAACAGGATTAAGCTGTCACTGTAAAAAATTTCATCTACATTTAAAAATTCCTTTAAAGCAGTAGACCAACACATCTCCATGGAGGAGCCCATCTATATCTTGAAACCACCAATCTGTCCATCACAAGTTGAGCAACTGATGTAGTCAACTCAAGTCAGTTTTTGTACAATGAATCCAAATTCACAGAATTAGAATTTAATTGGCATTTTTTCATTTCAAGGTAGTGTATAGGGCACAAAAAAAAGCGCCATGAGGTTTTGTCAAATCAAAAGTAAGTTTCCCTCTAGTAAATAAAACTCTGCATACTGTATTAGGGTTTATCTACAAATATGTTTTCCCAGTAAGACTTTATAAGCAAACTGAAGGATGCCTTTAACGCAGCTTCCACTCTGCAAGTAAGTACTCTGTTGTGTACTGAGAATGCAAGAGACAGCACCGGGTGCTATTCCCACGGCACATATCACCACACGCCGTGATGCCTCAGAACTGAAGACAGCTCATGGGTTTGTGTGGCCTCGAAGGGCAGCCCCTTCCACCAGGAAGGGCACAACTCACACTGCCCCTGACCTTCACATCACGCCTGTACCAAAAGATTCTTACCTTGCCATGGCCCAAAATACTGTGGCCTCTGGGACAAAATTATCTTAAAACCCAAATAAACAATTTTTTAAATGCCACTGATAATAAAGACTGCATCTTTCAGTTTCTTCCTCCTTATTAAACTCTTATAACACAATGGATTCAGAACAGAAGATTTTGTGACTTTTCTACGGAAAACTATTCAGAAAAAATTGCCTAGCTGAATTACAGGAACAAAAAAAAGTGTAAATCTTTTGTATGAGAAGAGAAAGGATGTGTTTACCAGGAAGAAATCACTGTCAGCTTTTAGAGTAGCTAAGTGTATTTCAAAGTGTTATGGTCTACTAAAGCCTCATTCTGTACTAACAGACAACCTTAATGAAAACAACCAATACTGGAAATGCAGGCTTTCTCGAAGAATGCTACAGTTTGGTCCACCCTATAGCAGAGTAACAAGTAACTCCACTTCCATCACTTTGCCATATCTCTATAAAACTTCTTGAACTACAAGATGCAGTAGGCATTGTTCCCCTCATCTCCACAGAGGAAAGCAACACCTCCCACTCTTTTACAACATTCTGATGTCCAAACTGCCATTTTCATATTGATTATTAGCAAGAAGTATTAGCCCACTCCTTTTTTTATAAGAAAAAAAAAAAAAGTTTGTCAAAATGCACCACTAATTAATAGAAACTCAACCATTCAGGCCATACCAGTTCCAATTTAGTTTTTGATGTGTACTTATAATGAGTCATTGAAACACAAGAGATGTGTTTGCTTATCCAACTGAAAGACAAATAGTAGGACAAATAGCAAGTCAGACTGCTGTTGCAGAACACCAGCATTCGTTCAGTAAGAAGAGTAAGAAACTATTTCTACACTGCTTAGCATCCAAAATAATGAGACACATCAGAGAAGATTAACAGCTCCTCTTTTGGAGGCAGCTGATCAAAACTAACCATAACATGGTGATAAACCTTGTTCCATAGGCATGCTTTAAAATACTGCACTTTCACACACAGCACTGTTTTCTTCACGTGAATAATGGAAGGTAAGCAATGCTTTGAAATAAAATTAGAATTTTAAAAATTCACCATGTCTTCTCTTAACCAATTTTTTATCAGCATCATGAAATAGACATGATTTGAAAACAGTAGTATTAGTGATTGCATGATGATTTTAGAAAGCTTTTTTCTTGCAAGCTCTACTCAAAACTAAGTCTGGACATGAGTCTACTTTTTTAGTACTCACAGAAGTCAGATGGCAGAAGCAGGCCATTAAATGGGAGGAAGTACAGATAACCAGTCACTAAGAAAGCCTGTATGCTCCACCATGCAAGGATAAACTGAAGCACTCAGTCCCTAATATGGCTAACAGAAAACAATAAAACCACTGCCAAGCTCAAGTTTTTAAGGTGAGACACAGTGAAAGATGAAGTAGACTATTTTACAAGGTTACTCTAGCTTGCCTACACTCTGTTCCCTCTCAGCCACCATCACCTCATCCTACCTACACACAGATAAACCAACATGCTCTGTGCTCCAACAGCTCAATATTGTCCCTAGCTATGTTTCCACCTTAAAACTGACGCAACTTCAGGGTACAGGACCCTGCTTGCTATGCAGCAACTATTAGTAGAGCAAACACTTGGACACACCTTTGAAAACTCACTATCAACCTCTAGTATTTCCAAAGTCCCTAGTATAGCCAGAACAGATAAGCAAAGCTAGAGTTGTAGCCAGTAAACTGTTTACCCACCTTATCTCATAAATATGCAAAATAAATGCACTGAAAATAATTCATCACCCTTGCCCCCCTTGATGTTTGGAATTACTATGCCCCTAATAAAAAGTGATTTAGCAAAAGAAACACACTATGTGCTAATTATACATATGACAGCCTATTAATTTATTATTTTCAAATTGATATGTGAACTCTGCAGAGAGACTTATGAACTACAACCTTTCCTGGCAAACATATGTGTTAGAGCAGCCATTCACAGCATGAATTCAGAGATAAAAAGATCACTTACCAGAGAACTAAGTGTTATTATGGCTACTCAGTGTACTAGTACTTGCTTTTGATTAATATTGTACACCTACTTCAGCTTGCTAAACCTCATGGCTCAGGATTAGTTTGAGAACTTATCAAGTAGTATGTTATCCTACACTAAAATAATAAACAACTTCAGAAAAAGTGATGGAAAACAGGTAGTTTGACTAATACTACAAGCAAATGTATCATTCTCATTAAATATGCAAAATTTAAGAAACCACCCTGAAAGTCATCTGGGGTCAAATGAAACTAACAGCACTGATTAACTGAGCCAAGAAAACCTAGAATACTTTTGTAAAAAAAAAAAAAAAATTAATTGTATTTCTAAATTAGAAAGACAAACAAAATACTCCCGTTTACAAGGCACATATACATATCATCTCCACTCATTAAAAACTTCTGAACAGCAGAAAAAGTGCTAGGTAATTCATACACGCACCACACTCCCAGCAGCACAATGCTCATCTTGCCCACTGTGGTTTCAGGGTCATGAAATTTCTTCATCGTCTATTTTTCACTCACTGCAGTAGTTTTAGGAAGCTAAGCAAAGCCCAGAAGTGAATGGAGTGCTTGCCATCTGAGTTTACGCTTTGCTGGATGGGAGCGGCTATGGTGATCTCCTACAATCCAAGTCATGTGCAATCATAGTATAAGTCCCCTCCCGGGCTATATAAGCTGGCATCTTTCCCAGACATTGCCACATCATGAAAATGATGCATACAAATAAAACCCCAAAATAAACACTTTAAAACAATGGCTTAAATGACTGCATAACTAAACTCAGCAGCTGGAGACAAAGCACTCCCAGCGGCAAACCACGCATCTTTCACTTGCAAAAGTACTAAAATATATCCTTATTGGCAAGCTCCACATCACACCTAGCAACCAACACCCAAGTCTGGGCTGCAGAATCATGTTCCCCAAGGCCAGATGAGTAAATAAATAAATAAAGCATGGCTAATAAAAGCAGAGAGCATCAAACACACCGCTATGCAGGCAGAGCTTCAAAGTATTCAATGCACTTTCTACCACCAATTTCAATACATTATCTAATGCACTGAATACGAATAATGCTATCCCACCTATTTAGACCCAGACCTGTTCTCAGGAGTTTCTCTGACAAACTGTTTAGACTGACTTAAAATCATGCTTTTCGGTACAAGAAATAGAAGAAAAGGGGAGGAAGACTCCACACTGCAACGTGGGCAATTTAATTCATCAGAAATACTGCAGTATTCCATAAAATCCAATGAAAACTGTTTGTGCAGTACAGTGCTGGTTTGCAGTAAATTTTAAAATGTATCAACTCTGTGATAATAAAAAGAAATCAGTATCTTATACTTACAAAGATAATCTCAGTAGTTGAAATACTACACTTCTTACACTCCATTGCTTAAGGGAAGTAAGATTCTAGAAGAAACACAGCAATTGATATAAAAAGAGGTCACAGCTTGGTATTTTCAAACTGAGAAACACTAATCAAAAGACATGTTTTTACCTTACACAAAAAATGCTTTTTTATCTCAACACTGAAAAATTTCCTGTCTTCTGCTCCCTGAACATTTGATTTTTCCCCACCTAGCTCTACACAGACAGGATTTATGATGCTGTTGTTCAATGAACTGCAGGAGTTCTAGATGCCAATAAAGATTACAGATCAAATGAGATAACCACTAACCACCGTGCCTGCATAGATAAATAAACCTGCTCTCTTCTATTTGTACAGTTACCTCTACTAACCCAACTACAATAATCAGAACAGTAAGGGCTCAGGAATCATATCTGAAAACAAAAGGCTTCTTATACCTCTCCCAGTCCAACTTCTATGGATACATACACACCACACATACACCTTTCGATAAATTTTCATTTTCATGTATTTAGTAAAGAGTAAACCAGACAATGAACTAAAGAATTAAGCAGAAAGCAAAGTGATGAAGGAGCCAAAACACACGTACCAAAACCGGTGCAGTAACACAATTCCAGCCATCCCTGTCCCGGTCAAACATTTAGGGCACCGGGAGAAAGCAACATCAGCCAGAAGAAAGCAACACGTGAGCAAAAACCTCCGGCGCAGACCCACCCCAAGACAGCAGACGACCCCGCGCCACCGACAAGTGAAAGACCGGGAGGAGTCGGGACGCAGACCCACCGCTGGTCTGGGCGTCGGGACGGGGGGCAGCCGCGAATGGAGATCCCCGCGGCCGCAAGTACGGCAGAGGGGAAGGGGCAAGAACGGCTCCCCCCACCCTCCGACCCCAGACAGCCCCAAGGCAGGCGGGAGATGGACCACCGGCAGCCGCACTGACGGCGGCTTTTGTTCTCCACGGAAACCGGCACAGACCCGTCAGCTGCGCCCACTCCGATCCGGGTGGGAAGCACTCGCC